TAACTGATGGTACATGGAGGGGATTATAATCAATGTAATTAAACAAGGTATATGATTTGTTGAATATAAACCTGATGTTATATCCTGTAAACTTTCACTCAATCCACAATAAAAACCTTAAAAAAAATAAAAATAAAATAAATAGTGTTGGTTCTTGTGACAAATAACTCTTGTGGGTATGGTCTATCTTCAGTAATATAAAGGCTCATGAGATTCCTAGACATTGGTTGTTGATTTACATCCAGGAATATGTAAGCAGGATGAATTTGGGGGAAGGGAGGAAAATCTGTTCTAGGACTAGGAACTTTAAATAAGAATTCAGTCATTAAGACCATGGGGGCGCCATTTTGGCTTCTCTGAGGGGAGGGGAAACAGGATGTTCCAGTTTGTGAATGGGGAACTGGAACTGGAGGAGGGGCTTTTTTGAGACAGGAGAATAAAAGTGTTTGTGGCCCAGCCATGCGATGTGTTGTCCTGTGTCAACTGGGTTGGGCACCTGATTTTGCAAAGTTGAATATAGAAAACCTCACTCTCACTAAAATGAGTATAAATTGGATTATTTGAGTATTTGTCAGTATAGATAACATTTCTCACAGTTCTGTTTACTTTTTTGCCTGTGAACCTTCTGTGACCCTTATGTATGCTGTGTATTAAGTTAATGAGTCTAAGACACCCACAGAAACACTTGCTAGTCCCCAACCATTACATTTTTAAAGTTATAACAAAACAATCACCTCTAAACTCATAAAAGGCTGTAAAGGCATGTGCATTCATGTTTTAAAGCTTTGTGGATAATTATCATTCTGTCGCAAAAAAAGGGAAAGAAATTCCATAAACACCAAAAAAACAGTCTGAAGCCAGTAATGAAAAAGCCATACAAACAGTACTGAAGCAGATATTGGGAAGGAAAATTCCTGACCCTCTTCCCCCATTGTCTAGAGATGTTGCCAGACCGAAGCAAAGGTTTGCCGCCTATCACTGTAATCACTGAGACAGGGAGAGATCCAATCCAAGCTTTATTCCAGAAAGCCCAATGTGAAGAGTGGGCAGATTATATAAGGTAAGTTACATTTGGATGTACACTTAAATCTATTTTAACATCAAGATAGTATTTTTGGGAAAAAGAAACAAAAAGTAATAAATTTCTTCAAACATTCTACCTTTAGGGAAAAGGGGACAACAGGCAATAATCCTTCTCAAACATTCCACCTTTTAGGATCCAAGTTGCTTAGTTCCTGAGATAACTTCTGGGTGGGCTTCAGTACATCCTGGTCTCCTTCTAGGACCATGAAGTCATCTTGGCTAATTTTTAAACTAACTTCCCCATTTGCAGGGTCTTTACTTATCAAGACCTAATGACTAAACCAAGGCGCTCTGGTAGCGTAGTGGTTACAAATCGGGCTGCGAATATTAAGGTCAGCGGTTCGAAACTACCAGCCGCTCTGCGGGAGAAAGATGAGGCTTTCTACTCCTGTAAAGATTTACACCCTCGGAAACCCTGTACAGGGTCGCTATGGGTCGGACCCGACTCGATGGCACTTAACAACAACAACAACAACAATGACTAAACCAACTCGATTTTGTTTAGGTCGGTAGTTCCCTGCTATGAGGGGCTGGGGGGGGGGGGGGGGGGGGGGGCAGGGGAATTGAGTCAGATCAAGGAGCACTTAAATCTGCAAGAAGATGGACTGAGTTGAGTGGGTTGTGCTCACGTGCTCACACAGACAGAGACAACCCCTACCAGTAAGATATCATAAGAAACAAAGTCACATTCAACCTGCCCCCCAGGCTGACAGGAGAAGAAACTTCCAAGGCCTGCGGGCCCCAGCAGCTGCCTTGGCACTCCAGTGTCCCTCACACACCTGTGTGGGCCTCATTCACCTGAACAGTATTCCTGTACCTACACCCAACCAGTTCACCTTCCTACAAGGAAACCAAGGCAGCTAGACATTGACTAACATATCTACAACACCAACTGGTAAGTGTTGCACCAGAGTGTGAACTTATGCTTTAGCAACCTGGAGATTTTCCTTAGCCTCAAAAAGCAGCCACTTCTGGTCAGAGTCCCTGGGCCAGCTCAGGGTGCAGGTGGAGCTCCCCTGAGTGACAGGCAGTTTGGCCACTGATCACACAAAATAAAAAGAGGCACACCCACCTGAGAACTCTTGACTGGGATTTTTCAGGCCTTTGTTTCATCACAAATCAGCAGGGAGAGGAAGAGTAAACTCTGATCTTTGAAACTTAAGGAGAAATTGCCCAGAAAAGCTGAAGGGGCAGAGCATGGTGGGGGTGTAGGGATGGATGAGTTTGCCCCTTGGGCAATAAGATTTGAAGAATCTGTGATGAATTTTTCTCACCTTGATCCCTGTAACTGATTAACATTGCATGCACAACACAAAACCCCCGAGGGTGCTCCTGCATTTGATCCCTTAGGAAAAGGCATCAGCCCAAGAACTCAAAGTAATTCTAGAGCCCTTACTTTTTTCCTTATGACCAGATTGGATCTTGACAACCTGATTCACAGCCAGATTCTACAGGGGCCTCAGCCCTGGGGCTAGAGCTGCTTAATCCGGTTCAGGCGTGGCTCACATTCCAACCCTTCCCACCATGCTCCTGCCTGGATAATGAATATCCAGGTAACAAACCGCAGGGCCAGTCCTAGACGAGGGAGGAAGTACTTGCTCTCTCAGCCTCAGAGCCACTGTCCCTGTCCCATGCTGCACTGCAGCAGTCTCAGGATTCCACAGGCCCAGCTGCCCTCACCCCATGAGAAGCATGAAGGCTCCCGGAAAGAGCATGAGCAGAGATGTCTGGGAGCCCATCTGAGGCCACAGCTCTGCAGGGTGGCTGCACCCTGGCCCCCTGACCCCCTGATCCTATCCTTGTAGTCCATAAGGCAAACTCCCCCACCCCACAGGTCATTGCCTCCCACTGCTCTATCCTGCAGGGGTCCCTGAGTTGTGGACATGACTCCAAAGCAGATTGTCACCCACCTCCCTGCTCCAAGGAAAGCAGAGGCCTTTACACCTTGCTTCCTTAGGTGCAACCGCAGGCTATAAAGAGGATTGGCTGCCTCCCAGACTCTCCACTGCAGAGCACCCACCAGAGCTACGGTCACCTGGCCCAGGAGGTCAGTGTCACCCATGGAATGTAAAGGGAGCTCTGTGATAGTATTACTGTGTCATCTCAGTGACAGTAACAAATGGTCTCAGTCCACATGAGTTCACCATCTCCTTCCAGCCATGCCCATGGCAGAGTGACAAATCTACCCCAGTGGCCACTACTACTTGGGAGTAGCCAGTCCAGGACAGTCTCTGTGGCTCAAGGCAGGAAGGTTCTTTGGGAACAAATGCACATAACCCTCCACTCCCTGAGAACCACAATATGATCTTCCCAACATACAAGGCTGTTTTCTAAACGCCAGCAGATCCTCTGCAACTCCCAGGCACTGCTCATCTCTGCCCCATCCTGGCACTGACCTTTCACTTTCACTTACTGGACCATCATATCTAGGCATTGGCTACTGTGAAGTGCCATTTCACCATTAGACCCACAGTGCCCAGCACAGGCTGAGGCATGGAGCCTATACTGTTTACTGTCTAAGGTACAAGCACACCTTCAGTTGTCCAGAAACAGCAAATTTATAGGATGTAAGTCCATTGATGAAAAGGTTCATCAGCTCATTGGAAAACGTAGCAAATAAATGTCCCTCGTCCTTCCCATACAAGCTGCCCTGAGAGCACCCAAGCCCCATCACAGTTGTCATCTAACAAAGTAGGAAGAGGCACCTTGATGAGCTCATCTTAGAAATGAAGACCCCACGTCTCAGAGAAGTTAAAATCTTGTCTCAACAAGGTTTCACTTCCAGTGAGGTAGAGAATAATGTACATATTCCATTGTCCCAAAGAAACTTTACTTTGTGTCTCCGAAACTGCTCTTGCCAAGATTTAGTAAACCAATTCCAACACAGTTCTGTCGTCTGCCGGCTGTGAGTAGTAACACTGTCCACTTTGATGAAGTAGCTGGGACTGAGTCCTGTCAGAGCCTAACAAGTTAAAATATTCTTACTTGTAGACAAAGCAGACACAAATGTACCTCAAATATAATCAGCATGTAGACCCCGACAAGGATGGCCGCAGCGATTGCAACTTGCGTCTCCACGTCAGCACGGAGGTAGTGATGGGTCATCAAGACAGGAACTGCCTGGTTCTGCAGGAGGGAAGCTCGGATGGTGACCACAATGGCCTCTCTGCAAAAGAAACAAAGATTTCCCAGCTCATAACAGCAGTAAACCCATTGTCACTAGTGTCAACTGTAGCCGGTCAGAGCTTGACAAAATCTTAGAGGTACTCAGACTGTGTCACCCCATCTCCTCTACCTAAACTAGTAGTACCTGCCTCACCGGAAATGCCACCATATGTTATGACTGATATTCATAGCCAGCAGGGAAACTCACAAGTGATTCTACCTATTTACATTTTTTTCTTTCTCTTTACCTTACCTGCTGGCAAGGAAAGATGACAACTATTTAAACTTTAGTCACCCGCAGGACAATTGTGGTCAGCATACGATTATGGATTAAATTGTGTACCCCAAAATATGTGGTGTGAATCCTAACCCCTAAAGCACTGGACCACAAGGTCAGTCTCAATCATAAGGTCAGTAGTTCAAACTCACACTCCTTGAAAACCTTAACCAGGGTTGCCATAAATTGGAACCAACTCGATGGCACTTAACAATAAGAAGCACATACCTGAGGTTATAATCCCATGTGAGAATGTATTTTTTTCTTTGTTACATTGTCGTTGTTGCTGTCAAGTACCGTGGAATCATTGCTGACTCATAGCGACACTATAAAGGGTTCCCAATGAGCATCTGGTGAATTTGAACCACCAACTTTTCAATTCAAACCGACATTGTGGTCCAGTGCTTATCCTACAGCGCCACACCAGGACTCCTTTGTTATATTAATTATGTAATATTAGTGTAGGGTATGGCTTTTGAGATCTAAATAGAGCAGATTAAGCCATATGAAGATTGCCAAGGAGCCAAGGAACAAAAGATGAAACCAGTCATGGGCCTTCCTTCAGAGCCAACAGAGAAAGTTTTCCCCTAGAATTGACACCCTGAATTCTGGCTCCAACTTCCTAACCTGTGAGAAAATAGATTTCTCTTTACTGAAGAGACTTTGTGGCGCCATGTTCATTAGAGTCACACTAGCTAACTATGACACAGACCATCCCAGAATCATCTGTGCTCTTGGTCTATTGAGCATATTGTCACATCCAGGCCACACAACTGACCAGGTGGTTTCATGCCTAGTGTGTGTCCTATAGCTCAAAACTCCATGGATGAACATTTCCTAGAACACTGGTTCCCAAGGCATCACTCATTTGAGAACCCACCTGCTCCGTATCTCAAAGGTCCTGCTTATGACAACGTGCTCATTTCTTCTTGGATTTAAAAATACTGTCCAATTATAGTTAACCTATAAGAGATGAAATTTAAAACTGTGAATGCATCTGAGAGACCTGAACTATTCTGTTTGGAGAATTCTTTAGTAGAATGAGAAAAAGTGAGGTCGTTTTATCTAGGCTCCCTCACCCCAGGCATTAAGGGTCGATGAAAATGTGTGGAGCTTTAAATGTATAGTTTAGTAGGCTATACCGAAGAAAAAGAACGCAAAAGTACAAATGCAGATTAGTATACAAAAGTGCAAACAATATATAAAATACTGACTTGTTATAAGAAAAGAAATCTCTACAAATTACTTGGAGAGGTGGAGCAGTCTTCGGAGCACTCTTTAGGCACCTTACAGGGATGGCTTCCTACTGGCAATCTATCTGCACCCCTCCTAAAAAATCCTCTGCATATTTCAAGGCTCCTGGGAGCCCACAGAGCGGCCTGGAAATAGCACTTCATTTGCTTTTGGCAGATTCAAATCTGAGTGCTGGGATGGTGCATGCAGGCAGAGGGAGGAGCCCCTGACAGGAAGGAGAAGGAATTTTCAGTGGAGGGCCAGGACCACTAATCACATGGAAACTGCAACTCCCACTGTCCAATTAAGTCAGTTCCAGCTCATAGGACCCTATAGGACAGAGAAGAGTGGAGCCTTCCGATTTCTGAGACTATAAATCTTTACGGGAGCAGACAGCCTCATCTCTCTACCGCAGAATGCCTGGTGGAGTTGACTGACCTTTCAGTCAAAAGTCCAGTGCCTAATCCACTGCTCCTCCAGAACTCTGAAAATGGAAACTAAGACCAAAGCAGTAAAGTGCACTAGAGAACTCAAGTTCTCATGAAACATTTTGGTGTTTGGATGGGCCATGCCTGAAAACTTTCTTCCATAAGAGCTCTGTGCTGGATTTGGGGGCAAGGAAAGTGGGGAACACTTTTGGAATGTCTGCAGGTTGCCATCATTCTCCTCCAATCAGAGGTGGGCTATGATTAGACACAGACTAGAGGGCAGTGCCTACTGTGTCAGTCTTTCTTTCTTGGGTGGACAGCAGTGCCCACCTAGCTCTTCATGGGTTTCCAGGGTGGGTGCAGCGCACAGGGGGCCACAATTGTGTCCTGGGAAGCCTCTTCAGACCATGGGTGTTGAACAACCTGTTTCACTGCTTTGTGGAGGTTTCAACATCTTCCCCTCCTAGCTAGCACAGGGATAGCAGTAACCTGAGATGTCACTTCCAGAAAGAATTAGGCCTGACAGTGGGTCAGTGGGTCACTGAAGCCAGGCTCTGGGAGTGGCTGGCTCCACTAGCTGCTCCTCAGAAACCCTATACAGGGTCGCTATGAGTCGGAACCAACTTGATGGCCCCTAACAACAACAACAACATAGTGACGATCGTTCTAGCTGTATATGCTCTTCCTTTGCAACAGGGGCAGAAGCAATTCTCCCTGCTCTGGCCTGGCTCTCCCTGTCAGCAGTGCTCTTCCTGGGACATGAGCAGAAGGCATTAGCTCTCTGACACTGAAGCAGCAGGCCCTGGACAACGTGGACACTCTTACAATTGTCCACACTGAGACGTTACTTATCTTCAGAGCCAAAATGAAGACCAGAATTAACTGCACTTTGAACAACAATCACAAAAAATATTTTCAAATATAGGATGAGCCCCTGAATTTGTCATTGATTTTTAGAAAAGAAGAAAAGAGAATTTCAAAGACAAAGCAAAAGGTTGAGTTCATGGCTTAACTAATATAATAACGGTATTGTTACATCACAGCGCCTCATGACTTCCATTTAAGAGGAAACTCAAATTACAAAGAGATGGAAGGAGTTTTTCAGTTCTTTACTAATAACCTATAAGCGTAACCTGTTGTGGCCGCCTCCGTTTCCCACTCGGAGTATCTGCTTGGATGACTTCGACCACAATGCGCTCTTCTCGCTCTGGGCTGCTCAGTTCCCCGACCAGGGCCCCTGCCAAGTCCACCTGGAGCAGTGTGGAGTCCACGACACCAGTGAGGTTCATAGCTGTGAGGCGTCAAGGTGAAATGCAACAAGTTTGATCTCCCAGCTGCCCGTCTGACCCTGCGCCCATCTCAGAGATGCATGAAGACAGGCATCTTCAGGACCATCACCCTTGACCATGCCCTTCCCCTTGGCCCTCACACCTCACGTTTGAAGTCTTCCTTGTAACATCTAACCAATGTCTTCGCACTGTTAAAGAGAGAAATTAAGTACTAAATTGGAAGATCTGAGTGCATAGAAAATTCACAAAGGTCTCTGACCCTTGTACCCCAAAGCAAACAAAAACAAATCATATGAAGACACAGTAACAATGAGGTTGGGTAACTTCCCCTCAGTGACAAAGATATCTGTGAACCATAAACTAGCTCAGAGTTTATCTTATGCAAAGAATTTAATTTTAGATAATCCCCCCTTGTTTTCTGAGAGAGAATTCCAGAACTTTAGAATTGACTGAGTACTTGTGGTACCTTTATTATTTAAAACCTCCAGATAATACCAGAAAAATTGTACAAATGAACAGAGAGGACTAGCCAAACCACAAAACCCACCTGGTGGCCTGATATTTGCTGATCTAAGGAAAGGGGGTACAATCCCATCAATCAGACTAAGATTAGCCAATGGCTAGCCTACTTTGTTCTACAAGGACAAAGGAAAATAGTGTTCTGGTGTGGCGCTGTGGGCTAATGCACTGGTCTGCAAAGTCGCTTTGAACCTCAAGCTCACCAGCCGCTCCTTGGAAACACTATTCAGGGTTGCTATGGGTCAGAACCAACTTAACAGCACTTAACAACAATAACAATCTACTTTGTTTCTTCCTTTATCCCTAAAAACTCACTGTAACTGGACTAAGAAAAGCCTTCCTGAACAAAGATGTCTGACTGATTACCTGCTCAAATAATCCCTCTGCACCTCAAGTCTTTCTGAGGTTCAATTATTTTGACAGCATTCACAATGAAGAGTCCTGGCATGATGCTGTAGGATAAGCACAGGACTGTTAACCACAATATAAGTCATTCAAATCCACCAGCCACTCCTCAGAAACCCTGTACAGGGTCACTATGAGTCAGAATCAACTCAATGGTTTTGCCAAACCAAAACGATGGTCTGCCACCTGTCACCGTAGTCAATCACAGAGACAGGGAGAGATCCAGTCCAAGTTTTATTAACAGAGAGCCAGCAGTCTGGAGGACAGAGAGGATCATTCCTCTAGACCGTCCTGTCCACTATGAAGTGCAGACACATTACATAGTGTAAGTTACATTTAGATGTACACTTCATCTATTGTAACATCACAATAGCATTCTTTGGAAAAAGTGATCATAAGATAATAAACTTCCTCAAACATTCTATCTTTAGGAGAAAAGAAGCAATGAGGCACTAATCCTTCTCAAACATTCTACTTTTTGGGAAAAGAAACAATTGGCAATAAGCCTCCTCAAATATTCTGTCTTTTGGGAAAAGAAACAATAAGGCATTAAACCTCCTCAAACATTCTACTTTTAGGGTCGCAGCTGCTCAGTTCCTACAATAACTGTCTGAGTGAGCTTAAGCACGTCCTGTTCTCCATGAGGTCTTCTCAGATAATTTTCTAACTTCCTCATTTGCAGGATCCTCATTTGAGATCTAGTGACTAAAGGACTCCATTCTGTTTAGGCCGGGAGACCCATGCTATCAGGCCCAGGCGAGCAGTAAACAAGAAAACTGCACCAGCAGGTGGTATTAGCACCTGTCTGTAAGAAGAAGGCTCAGAGGAGTGAGAATTCAAATTCTGAGGATGGCTAATTAGTGAGCAGCCAACACTGAGAAGAGAGAAAGTCCTTGGAAATACTGTAGCTGTGGTTCCTGACCAGAGAAGACATGCCAGGAAAAGTGTAATGCAAGGTACTTGTTCCTGCAGGGAACCTTCCCACGGGCCTTACACTACCTGTTGCATAAACATCCGAATAGAGGCCCGAACCTTCTCTCCTCTATTCCCAGTCAACCCTGAAGAGCCTCACACCTCAGACTTTGAGTTCCTAGAGTTTGGGTGTCGGCAACTAGGCCAACATAGAAATCAGTTGCCAGTAAGCTGACACGTGGCACCTCCCAGTGTGTGAGAGAGTAGAACTGTGCTCAATGGGGTTTTCAATGGCTGATTTACTGGAAAGTGACCACCATGCCTTTCTTCCAAGGTACCTGCGGGTGGACTAGAACTTGCAACCTTTCAGTTAGCAATGAAGCTTATTAACCATTTGTACCACCCGGAGACTCAATATCCTATATTGTTGTTGTTATGTGCCATCGAATCAACTCACGTAGAGAGTTTCCAAGGAAAAGCTAGCAAGCTTGAACTGCTCACTGCCCTTGTAGTTCAAATCAACCTTGCAGTCCAGAGCATTAACCCACAGCACCACACCAGGACTCCAAGATCCTATACAGCAGTCTATACTTTGGTGCACAAGAGAGAACAGTTGTAGAAAACAAATTTTATAATTAATTGTTCATGCTTCTAAATGAGGTCTTTATATGAAATTCACTGATTTTGTTTCCTGAATATCTGCAGGATTTTCATTGCATGACAGACAGCATGAAGGAACGATGAATCCTTTTTCATTGTTTAGTTCCTCTAGCAAATGTGCTAGTTCCATATGTATGTGTTTGTGTGCCTGTGTGTGTGTGTGCTGGTACCTCAGGGCTATGGCAACGCTGAAGTTACTGAGGGCAGAGCAAGCATTTGTCTCACTATAGACATTCCTCACACCTGCGTGCTGCTTGGATTCCTACAAGGACAATGGAAAGACAGAGTCTCCCAGGAGGCAGAGGAGACTCAGAAAAGGACCCAGAGAAACAGTGTCCCTTTGTCCACACTTGAAATCATGACTATACTGCTCCTTCCCTAGGGCCTACAGACTTCAGATTTGAAGACCAGGAAATCAGAACAGCGACACCTGGTGGCCAGTGTCAAAAGGCTATTGGACCAACAGAGGTGAATTCGCTCTCTGAGATTTCTTGTTTGGGAAGCATCATCTGTTGGTACCAAAAATACAAGTAGGTCTTCCTCCTTGCATGTCTCAAACCCTAGTGGGAAACGACCATGAGTGGAGCACACCTGAAAACTCACTCCTCTCCCAGGTACCTGTTAAGATTCAAAGCACCACCCAATACTCTGGTGTCAGCAATGAGTTCTGAACCCCAACTTCGGAAATGAGCAAACCAGAGCTTCAAGAGTCTACTTATTCCCTTCCTGCCACCTCTGATTCTGCCTTCCAGCCATTTTTCTAACACACTATGTTAGTGTCATACACACATGCCAAGGCTTGAACTGTTGCCTAGGACTCAAAGGCTCACCCCCAAATCTGGAGAACCCCCTACTTCTCCTTGGAGCTCTCTCTCAGCCTCTCCTCTTCTTAAATCTTTCCTGTCACCTGCATCACCACTCAAGTAGAAGCCATTGTTCCTGCATTTGTCCTTTGGGAAACCTGTGCTTACTCTGTGAAGGAGTTTATTTGCATCTACTGAAACTTGTTTTATATTTTTCTTCCCAATTGGCCTATTTCCTCAAGGGAAGAAACTGCTCATTACCCACTCATCTATTTTCCTGGAGACTAACATAGTTCGCACCACATTACTCCGTTGCCATCCACTCGATTCTAACTCTTGGCAGCCCTACAGAACAAAGTAGACCTACTGATGGAGTTTATAAGGCTGTAGTCAGCTCTGTAGTGTAGTAGTTACGAATCGGACTGCTAACATCCAGGTTCGCAGTTCAAAACTACCAGCTGTCTCGGAGGGAGAAAGATGAGGCTTTCTGCTCCGGTAAAGATTTGCAGCCTCGGAAACCTTGTGCAGGGTCACTATGAGTCGGAACGGAACTGACTCCACGGTACTTAACAACAACAACAATCTTTCTAGAAGCAAATGGCCACATCTTTCTTCCACAGAATGACTGATGGGTTTGAACTGTTGGCATTTCAGTTAGCAGTCAAGCTCTTAACCACTGCATCATCGGGGTTCTTTCACCACATTGTTCTTGTTTTTAAGTGCCCCAGATCAGTTCAGACTCATAGTGACCCTGTGTTGGGTTTCTGAGGAGCAGCTAGTGGGTTTGAACTGCTGACCTTGTAGTTTGCAGTCCAGTGCTAATCCTACACCACATTAGATGTTCCTAATAAATATTTGTTTAGCTAATCAGTATTTAGGAGTCCTAGTGTGGTGCTGTGGGTTAATGCGGTTTGAACTGTAAGGTCAGAAGTTCAAGCTCACCAGTTGCTCCTTGGAAACCCTATACAGGATCACTATGGGTCAGAACTGACTTGATGGCACTTAACAACAACAATAAATATTTAAGTCCTAAAACCCAATCAAGATGACGAACCGGGTAGATGTGCAGTGAGGAGCCACGTCACCAACAACACAGAATACTGGGCCTAGCAGGCTCAGAGATGGTGCTAGATAGAACTCTGAACCACATGTAAAGTAATACTTAGAAGATTGGAAGGCTTACAGCTGGGGGAATTTGTAGCAGAATCAAGAAACCATTGCTTTCTAATTCAAGATGCTCAGCTAGTCCCAGAGCTGCCATCTTGGAAGAGACCAAGTGGGGGATGGATCAGAACAGCCACAAACGCCTGACAGAACCACAAAGATACAGGTGTGGACATTCATTTTTTGGTATCTGTTCATTGGTCTCTCGCTGTCTGCACACCTCCATACTGGTGACTAGAGGGAATGCCTGAGCGAATGGATGCCCCACCCCCACCCCAGGAGGGTTCTAATTTCGCATGCGCACAGATCTCCTCAAAATTTAAAGTGACAGTTTCCACTTAAAACCAGACGGCCACCACTCGTCTGTCAGTTTGCCGTACTGTGGTGGCTTGTGAGTTGCTACGATTCTGAAAGCTATGGCACGGGTATTTTAAATACCAGCAGGGTCACCCATGGTGGACAGGTTTCAGATGAGCTTCCAGACAAAGACAGACTAGGAAGAAAGAGTGACAAACTACTTCTGAATCTTTAGTCACTGAAAACCTTATGAAAATCTGCTGCATAAGACCTTTTTAAAGTATTTAACAGCAAAGATGTCAGCTTGAGGACCTGACCCAAGCCATGGTGTTTTCAATAGCCTCATATGCATGCGAAAGCTGGACAGTGAATAAGAAAGACTATAGAAGAATTGATGCCTTTGAGTTATGGTGTTGGAGGAGAATGTTGAAAGTGCCATGGGCTGCCAAAAGAACCAATAGATCTATTTTGGAAGAAGTGTAGCCAGAGTGCTCCTTAGAGGCCAAGATGGCCAAACTTCGTCTCTCATACTTTGGACATATTGTCAGGAGGGACCCATCGCTGGAGAAGGATATCATGTTTGGTAAGGTGGAGGCTCAGAGAAAAAGAGGAAGACTCCCAGCAAGATGGATTAGCCAAGTAGCAGCATCAATGGCAGCATCAAGCGTGGCAACAATAGCGAGGTTGGCCCAGGATTGGGCAGTGTTTCATTCTGCTGTGCATAAGGTCGCTATGGGTCAGTACTGACTCGATTGCACCTAACAACAACAACATGACCCTAGGACGATCACAACAGACTCTGAAGACTTTATAGGAAGGTGGAAAGGGAAGGAGGGCTCACGGGGTGAGAAGAGACAACAAAGAGAATTTACTTCCACTCGCTCCCTGAATCAACCACTGGGGGCCTGCTGCTGTCGGCATTTGGGGACTCCATCCCTTCAGTGGGTGGTCCTTGTCTTTGCTCACCAACAAAGATCAGCTTAGCTAGAGAGAGTTTCATGTGGGCAAAAGATTTAAAGATTTATTGAGAAGAAAAGATCTGGCCACAGGGGAGGAAGAGCACCATAGGCAACACTAACTTTCCTTTCCCTGGACAAAGGATTTGCTGGAGTTTTTAAAAGTTTTAGGTGGGGAAGAGACATCCTGTTTACTTACAGGGATAGGTGGGTATTTCTGAGAAGTAGTCCATTTAGGAGGGGCCATGTTAATTGGGTACATGTGCAACATCTTTTTAAGAAGGATTATTCTACTGCAACGGCCTCTGGTAAGGGCAGACAAAACTTATTCTGGGATGTTGTACATGTGTAACTCCAGTCCCAGTCTCTCCAAGGGACTGGTGTTCTCCTCTTCCCCCAAGGAAAGGCCATCCTTTAAGGTGAGTAACACCAGTTAGCCTGTAAAACATCTTACTAGAAAGTAAAATACAGAAATCTTATGGGTAAACAGACTGCAAAATGAGCGAGTTCTTGGGATTAATGTTTTCACCTTCCGAGCAGTCTCAGGAAGACTTGGAGAGGTAAAGTAGCAGATGTTGAGGGGTTGGACCATATGAGGGCCTCAACTGGACCCATCATTGCTACTCAGGGGGCTTCTTCTGGGAGCTATGGGGCTACAGTTCTTAGAAATCTTCCACCACTGAGAATCCACAGAGCACCTACTGTATGTGTCTCAGGCACTAGACCAGGTGCTGAGAGAGAACCAAGGAAGTCCCCTGCCTTGGAGACAAAGTCTTTGCTTCCCTAGTAGCTCTTTTCAAGAGGGCTCCTAGGCTCCCTGCCTTTCCAAGTACCTGAATTTAGATCTCCATCCAAGCCCTACCTCAGTAGCTCTTCCTCCATGAGTTCTCCTCACAATGGATGAGCCACACGGATCCCCTCTGGGCTCCTGGGGCACTGCCCTTCAGTGGGTCCCTTTTGTTCTTGCAATGAGCAGTGGCCACCTCTCTGGATCTATGGCTAGTTACCCTCTGGGAACTGTCCCAAGGTCCCCAGGGTAGTAGGATGAAAGCCCAGGAGTGGAGCTTCTAAGGACTCTTGATCAGCACTGGAGGATCAGCATTGGATTGTGAACCACAAGTTGGCAGTTCAAACCCACCAGCTACTCCTCAGAAACCCTTATACAGGATCACTATGAGTCAATATCACTTAACAACAAGAGCTTCTAAACACAGGCAACGTCCTATGCCATGGGACAAGTCCTCAGAGTCTGAAGAGATGCCATCTTACAGTGAGCCATCCACAGACTTATGGGGCATAGGCATCATCAGACTGAAGAAAAGTGAGGAAGTAGGTTCCCTTCAGGAGGAAAACAGAAGCAATATTACTTGATGAAATGATGGAATATGGATAAGCCTATATGATGCTGACATATCTTATCCAACATTAAGGACTGAAATGGGCGAACTAGTTTCCTTACTTTCTAGAACAGCCCCATCCAATAGAGCTCCCCACAGTGGGATTGTTCTATATCTACCTTTGCTGTCTAGTACCATAGCCAACAACCATAAAGCACTTGAATGTGGCCAGTACAACTGAGGAAGTGAATTTTTCATTTCATTTACTTTATCAACATAGGTTTAAAATTTTAAAGTCACAGGTGGTCATTGTATTGGATAACACAGCTCTGAAATAACTTAAGGAGCTTAGGCTGTATGTGAGGAGTGATCAGAGAAGAAAGATACCCTTAATGGATCTAGTGTTTCCTTTATACTCTCTCAGCAATTAAGCAAGGATACAGTGGATGGTGGAAAATAGACCCTGTATCCGGAAAAAAAAGAAGGGAAGGGAGGAAAGAACAATCAGATTACTCTGATTTTGAAGGCATTGTTGATGTTAAGTGCCACTGAGTCAGCTCCAACCCGTAGTGACCCTGTATAGGGTTTCCAAGGAGCCGCTGGTAAGCTTGAAGTGCCGACCTTTACAGTTCAAGCCGACTTTACGGCCCAGTGCATTAACCCACAGTGCCACACCAGGTCTCCTTTGAAGGTGTACCTGTGCCCATTTATTTGCCCAATGACCCAATGATATAGGCAGGCCTTCACCATTACAAGCACAATGATCCAGCGGCAAAGGACTTGGGGTTGCAAATGGATTCAGGCCACTTCCTGTTTTACACAGTGCTTCCAAAATGAACTCTACAATTGCTGAGGTGGCATATCAAGACTGTGACAAAAAAGACTTAGTGTTTTACAGGGGAAAGCAGCTTTGGGATTCTGCAGCTAAAAGAGAACTGTCAGTGGTGGTGGTGGTGGTGGTGGTGATGCTAAGCGTCGTTGAGTCTGTTCCAACTCATAGTGCCCCTGTAAAGCGTTTCTGAAAAGCAGGTGGTGAGTTTGAACTGCTGACCTTGCAGTTCAAATCGACCTTGCTGTCTAGTGTATTTCTCCAAAAATCTCAAAACCTCAGAATGGGAGAAAAAGCGACAGAACTTAGTGTCCTAGAGCCTGGGAATTCCAAGCCCTTAGGAGAAGGCACCTCTTCCTTACCTGTTCCCCAGAGCACTTGCCACACCAGGAAGCTTCCCTAGTGTTCCCCTTCCCCGTGTCCTTGAATGTCCTGAACAAACAAAACGTGTGGATAGGAACAGCGATCGATCATCTGCTGCAGGTGTATAGTTCTTCAGAAACCCCTGACATTGTGAACCACAGAAATGATAAGGACCAACCAGCTCAGGTATATTTTGGATACAGTAGCTTTCCAATGGTGACACAGCCAACAGCTGCCAAACCTTCCCTTGATCAGGAAACAGGCTAAATAAAATCTGTAACAATCAAAAACAGTCAATTATAGATATGTGGAATAAAGAGTATGAAAACTAATCAACAGTTGAAAATAGGGATCTGAAAATGCGGTTCATTTCCAAAATTCACCAGCTTATTATGAATATCCTTTCTTAGATATTAAAAAAACATTTGGATTCATTATACTATTGTCAGCTACAGTGGTCCTTGATTAGTGATACTTTCCCATTTTAAGGATTAAAATTGTTGTCGTTGTTGTTACGTGCCGTCGAGTTGGTTTCATCCTGTATAGGGTTTCCAAGGAGCAGTTGCTGGGTTTGAACTGCAGACCTTGTGGTTCACAGTCCAGGAGCCAGCTACTAAAGTTGTCAACAACTAGCAAACTTGCTCTTCAGATTCAACACTAAAAGAATGTGGCCTTTGTGACTGGTGTAGTAAGTTTGTGGAGTTTGCAAAACACCTTTTATACCATCGGAAATGAAAGTGCTAATGAGGTGGCAGATTTAAGAATTTCAAAACAAATTCCTCAAATTCTATTTTGGAACTAAAACTCATCTCTCAGATAAAGGGTAAAGAAGACCCAGAAGCCAGGTGAGCTCTCAGAGGGCCAGATGAGGACCCACCATCCTTGACATCAACTACTAACCACCTCCACACCCATCCCCCATGCCCATCCCCCAGCCCCATTAAATCAGTGCGTGTGCTCAGAACCACAAGCATGTGAAAAACTTACAAAATGTAAATTAACCCACTTTTTGTTCTTGTGGAGTGCTGTCGAGTTGGTTCCAACCCATAGCAACCCTGTATAGGGTTTTCAAGGAGCAGCTGGTGAGCTTAAACTGCAGACCTTGCAATTCAAATGACTTGGCAGTCTAGCGCATTAACCCACAGCGCCACACCAGAGAGTCAATTCCTATAGTTGACTCCCTGGTGTGGTGCTGTGGGTTAATGCACAGAGCTCTGTAGAGTTTAAATAAAGGCTATAAATCTTTATGAAAGCACAGCGCCACATCTTTCTTCCACACAGCAGCTGGTGAGTTTGAAGTGAAGTGCTTAAGAAAACAAATTAGTAGTCAATTGACCTGGTGTTCCCTTCTGAGACCATGGTCATGAGCCCCCAGGTGGAAGAATGTATTCCCTCATGGCATCAAGATATTTGGCTATGTCTAAAAACGGTCATAACTTCGTTCCCTATATGCTCGACCACATTCATGGATATAGTTGCAACAAGGGGAATCTTTATGTAGGAATATCCTCTGTATATACATGTGGGTATACTCCCACAATTGTTCAGCCTTAATGTCTGTCCAGGATTCTAACCATAGATCATCATTGTTGCAGGATATTTATAAAGCCCTACCTCTCCTGCCTTTAACTCTTGCAGTCCTCCAAGTACCTTCCCTACCTCCATCAGTTTTTACTGTCTTTCCTTTAATTGTATTGCCTTCCCCTTCACCCAACTTAACAAGTGTGTATCCTCTAATCAGAAATTTACCCTCCCTTCCCTCCCACGCCTGGTAAACATCAAAGAATTTTTCTTTTAGTGTGAAAACATTTTCTTGACTATTTCAATAGTGGGCTCAGCATAATGGCCTCCAGATTCATCCGTGTTGTGAGATGTTTCACAGATTCATCATTATTTAACATAGCATGGTATTCCATTGTGTGTATGTGACATTGTTTGTTTATCCATTCTTCCACTGATGAACATTCAAGATGTTTCCATCTTTTTGCTATTGTGAATAGTGCTGCAAAAATGGGGTGTATATATCTATTCATGTTGTGGCTCTTATTTCTCTAGGATACATAACAAGTAGAGGGATTGCTGGGTCACATGGTATTTCTATCCCCAATTTTTTAAAGGAGCAATAGACTGTTTCTCACAATGATTGCAACCCTTTTTTCCTGTTTGTTAGATGTCTTCTTTGAAGTGCCTGTTCATGTCTTCTGTCCATTTTAATTGGATTATCTGTCTTTTTCTTGCTGAGGTGTTGAAGTTTTCTATACGTTTTAGAGATTGGTTCCTTGTTCAATATGCCACTGCCAATTTTTCCCCTAGCTGTGGTTCTCTTTCTACTCTTCTGGTGAAAGATTTTGATGCAAATAAATGTCTAATTATTAGGAGGTCCCAGTCATCTGGTCCCAGTCAAGTCTGTCTTATTCTGTTTTCAGTACTGTTTGATAACATCAACATTAATGCCATGTGTTAGGTCCCTAAGTTTGTCTTTATTTTTTCATTAATAATCTTTATAATTCTAGATATAACATTTGCTTTTGCTGTATCTTGAGTTCGATTTTTTTTCTTGCATATGGTGTGAAATATGGTTCCTGTTTCATTTTTCTGCAAATGATATTCAATTTTGCCAGCAGTATTTGGTAAAGAAGGAGCTCTGATAACATACTGGTTACAAGTCGGGCTGCTAACCTCAAGGTCAGCAGTTCAAATCTACCAGCCATGCTGTAGAAGAAAGATGAGACTTTCTGTTCCAGTAAAGATTTACAGCCTCAGAAATCCTATGCAGGGTCAGAACCAACTCCACAGCACACTACCACCATCATTTGTTAAAGACTCTTTCTTGTCATCATTTAACAAGTTTCGGCCTTTGTCAAAGATCAGCTGCACAAAGGTGGATAGATTTACTTCTGAATTTTCTATTCTGTTCTACTGATTTATGTGTCTTTCATTGTATGAGTACCAGGGTGTTTTGAATACCAGGGTATGTAGTAGGTTTTGAGATCCGGAAGTGCCAGGTCTCCTACTTTGTTCTTTAAGAGTGCCTTTCTTTCTTTCCTTTCTTTCCTTCTTTCTTTCTTTTTAACTTTTTATTGTGAATTAAGTGAAGGTTTACAGAACAGATCATCAGTTTCACAGTCAACAAATCATATACTTTGCTTCATTGCAATGATTTCAATCCCCTCCACGTACCATCAATTAATAATATTTACCTCTCTTCACTTCGACTCTTGCATTCCTCTATGTCTCCCCCACTTCATCTTTCCTCTGTCAGCCTCTCTCTTCTAGCATATTGCCTGCCCCTCACCTACAGTAACATGTATCTACCCTCTAACTCGTGAATAATTTCCCTTCCTTCCACCTTCATACAATGCTTATTTTATCAAGAAAACCTTTTAACTTTTTAAAATAGTGGTTTCATACAACAGTTGTCTTTTTGTGATTGACTAACTTCACTCAGGAGTCCTGGTGTGTCACTGTGGGTTAATGCACTGGACTGCAAGGTCGGTTTGAACCACAAAGTCAGTGGTTCCGTTTCACCAGAAAACCCTATACAGGGTTGCTATAAGTAGAAACCGACTCAACAGCACTTAACAATTTCACTCAGTATAATGTTCGCCAGGTTCATCCATGTTGTGAGGTGTTGTTTGGATTTATTGTTACTTGTCAATGTTGCATAGTGTTTCATTGTATGTAGCAAAGTTTGTTGAACCATTCTTTTTTCTGTTGTGCTCTTGTAAACTGCATATTGAAATACCCTGTTGTTATCCATTCTGCTTCTTTCTGTCTCTTCATTGCTGCATTTAATCCATGTACACTCAATGTAATTATCAATAGGTAGGAATTGATTGCTGCCATTTTGCTGTGTGTGTGTTTTATGGTGCTGCTGATTTCTTTGTTCCACATAATTTTCCGCATTGAGCTCATTGTGTTTGTGGGCTTTCTTTTCATTTATATTTCTGTTTTAATGTTTACTTCTGATTTTCCTTTTTTATTTTGATGTGAAGATATATTAATTTTCTTTGAGGTTACCTTGTAATTTATTAAAATTTCCCCCGTTTAAAACATTTTATTTTATCTTGCAATCTACTTGACCATTTGGAAGTTTTGTATCTGCACTATTCCCTCTTCTTGCTTTGTAGTTGATTTCACTATAAATTGATATCACTGGTTCCCTATTTTCAATCATATAGAATTGTCTTGCTTTATCTCTTGCTCCCTATTTTCAGTCTTATAGGTTTGTTTTACTTTAAGTACTTCTATGAGGGTGAGTCAAAAATTATTCACACTCTGGTACCATTACTGATGACAACATTGAATGTGCACATGAAATGATTCTGTCAAATAGATGAGAGTGAAATGGATTATGTGGCAAATCAGCCATGGCTCTGCATATGAAATAATCCATGACAGACTTGGGTTACAAAAAGTTAGTAAGAAATGGGTGGGTAGCAAGCAAACAGACGGAAGAGCATAAACAGAAGCATTTGTACATCTCCAAACAAAATTTGGACCCATACTTGAAGGTGAAAGTTTCTTTTAAAAAGTCATTACTGATGATGTGATACAGATTCATCACTACAAGCCCGAGAGTAAATGGCAGAATATGGAACAGAAACATCCTCAATTTCCAACCAAGAAAAAGTTCAAAAGTCAACCATCAGCTAGAAAATTGATGCTTACAGTTTTCTGGGATTCTCAAGGGAAAAAGTTTCAAAGATCAGCAGTGTTTGCTACAGTGAAATGCTCACTGAAGAGGTGATGCCTGAATTTCAGTTTCAATGCATAAGACTACTACCCAAGGGCATTGTGATCTTGCATGATCTCTGCCCACACTGTTGACATTCTGCAAAAAAATCACTTTGAGGTGTTAAAGCATCCTCCTGATATTGCTCAATCAGACTTTCACCTGTTTGGTCCCCTGAAATCAGTCCTAGGAGCACAAAGATTTGCCTCTGATGAAGAAGTGAAGACAGCAGTGCATTCATGGCTCACAGCTCAACCTAAAATATTTTTTTCATAAGGGATTACGAAAGCTTGTTCACAGATGGATAAAGCATCTGAAAAGGAGATTATGCTGAAAAATGATGTATTTGTCTTTTCTAAAAGTTGATTAAAGTAGATCCTACAGCCAGAGTGCTGGTAATTTTTCACTCATTCTTGTATATCTGGATTGAGTTTTGGGTGATGCTCTCACGTATGTTAACCTCAGGTTGTCTTTTGTTGTTGGTTCTTAGTCCAAAGAATTCTGGTTAGTAGTCTTGAGGAAAGTTGGTCTAGTTATTA